ATTATATAAATTATATTCATATATTATAATGATATCTAATATATTAATATTATATATAATTATATTTATCCTATATTAACTATGTATCACATATCACATATAATATATACAAATATATATTATATATTATATAAAATATATAATTTCTATATATTTCTTATATATAAAATAATTATATATATTCTTTAAATTATCTATAATTAATATATAATGATCATAATATATATAATGTACAACATATTATATACACATTCAATATTATGATTTATATATATATTTATATACATAAATCAAATATATAAATGTATGAATATATAATATGTATATATAGAATACATTTTATATATTATATTATATATTACATATAATATGTAATAAAATATATTTCTATATTATATATTATATACATATATAAATATATTGTATTTAAATGTATATATGTATATATTACATAAACATATGCATGTATATGTTATATATTATAAAATTATTTATTATATAATTTATATATAATATATATTACATATATATTAATATATTGTATATTTCTATGATTATACAATATATTTATATAAGATATATTATCTATATGATGCATAATATATAGATTTATTATATATTACATATAATATATAAGATACATTGAAATATATATTATATATGCTTATTATTTTATATATTAGATTTATCATATTTTATATCATATATAATATATATCTATTAATATATAATTATTTCTATAATATAAATTAATATATAAGATATATTTATATATAAATATATGATATGAATATATAAAGATATCTGAATATAATTAAAATAAATATAAAAATATACATAAATAAAAATATATACATAAATAAATAAATATATACAAACATACAATAAGTATTTGTAATATATGTATTATATGTATAATATATATAATATAAATATATAGCATAATACATACAGAATATCATCCATGATATATAATTAATTGGTATATATTATATATATTATATAATATAATAACATAATTATGTTATATTTTATATAATATAAATATAATTATTATTTATAGTTATTTAAATATATAAATATATTATGTATTATATGATATATATTATGTATCACATATATAACATTACATATAAGGTATAATATATAATGAATTTTGTATATTATATAGATTATGTAATACATACCAAATAACATATGTATTATATTATATATATTAATGATATATTAGATGTAATATCTTATATATTTATAATATATATTATGTATTATATTATAGATCATAGATTATACATATAAAATATATGAAATATAATATTTTAAATATATAACTTTAATATATTTATTATAGATAATAAGAAAATTTACATAAATATAAATATGTAATTTATATTTACATATTCTAATAACTCTAATATAATATAATTTATATTTACATATTCTAATATAATTAAATATTCTAATATATATAATTTTTATATATAAATACATAAAATATATATAAAGATATATTTGTATATTACATATTTATATAATTATATATTATATATTTATATAAATGTATAATTGATATATATTTAATATATATTATATATTATAATATATGTAATATTTATTTTATATAATGATATTATATATACAATAACATATATTATATATTATGTATATCATGTAATATGATATATATATTATATATGATATTACATTTCATATATAATAATATTATACATTGCATGTAATTTTGTATAATATATAAAATATATAATATAATAACAATATATAATATACATATATATTAAAATATATTCTTAAAATGTATATTAAATATAGATATATTTAATATAAATGTATATTTAAATAAATATTTATATATAAAAGTAATTATACATATATTTAAGAAATTGTATATATATTTAATATATATAAATTGTATATATATGTATCATATATATATGATGATGCTATACAATGATAGATGAATAGATAGATATAGATGGTATATATATGTATATACATACATATATAGCAAGCTGTTTACTTTAAACATATTTATAATATACGTGGGGATCCCAGGTGGCACTAATGATGAAAAACCTTCCTGCCAATGCAGGAAACATAAGAAATGCAGGTTTGATTTCTGGGTTGGGAAGATCCCCTGGAGAAAGCCATGGCAACTCCAGTATTGTTTCCTGGAGGATTCCATGGACAGAGGAACCTGGCGAGCTATAGTCCAGGTTCTCAAATAATTGGAAACAACTGAAGTGATTTAGAACAAACACCCACTCACCATATATATACTGAATATATATTTGCATGTTAAATATATACAAGATACATAATGAAGTAATCACCATAGTCAATCCAGTTAATATATCAATCACTTCACCTAGTTAGCATTTTTTCTTTTTTTCTTTCCTTTGTTGTGGTGACAACAGTTAAGATCTACTAGAAATTTAAATATTTATTTTCCATGGGGCTAAGCTTATTATTTGTCCTTATTAATTTGTTAATTTGGGGGGGAGAAGAGCATTTAAGTGTTACTTTACATATAAACTAAAATAACTTTTTAGTTTTTGAGGGAGAAATACTTTTTAAAGGTTAAAATGTCCAAAGTTTCAATGAAGAGGAGGTATGAGGACAAGGGCCTGGTTTTAAGATGTTGTAATCACAACTGCTAAAATTAAATTAATTTACCAGTGTCTTTTGCAGACTAATCAAGTATTATAGAGAAAAATGTATCTGTCTACTATAAAATACTTGGATTTATACCATAAAAACCCAAACACAAGGCACCATTCATATGACCATTTATCTGACAAAAATCCAGGAGAAAACTTATCCATCTGTTTCCACTGGACCAAAGCAGTGGAATAAACAAGGAACCAGGAAATTCCAAAGAAGTCCAGTTTTAAAGTTTAAAGTGTTATTAAGAGATCATCCTGAAATGTTTCAACTTGCAATCTCTAGTGTTCAGAGGACACCAAACCAAAATGAGAGTAAATCTATATTCTGCCATTTCATATGCTCACACATTGATTTTGCTCCAAGGACCATTTTAGTTGTATCTTTAAATTACTTTAAAAAATTTTATTATCGGCAAAAGCTTGCTTGATCTTGATTTTCAGTAGTAATACAGACCGTGAAAGCAGGGCCTCACAAAAAAGAAACAAAACAACAAAAAAAATAATATTTTATTATCTTTTATATGCCTACAGCTGATTCATGTTGATACATGGCAAAAACCATCACAATATTGTAAAGTAATTATCCTCCCATTAAAATAATTTAATAAAAATTTTATTATCTTTTTAATTGAAGTATAACTTATTTGCATTGTATTAATTACTACTGTGCAGCGAAGTGATTCAGTTATAATTTCTCTTTTTCATTTTCTTTTCCATTATGGCCATTCACAGGACACTGAATATAAGTCCGTGTGCGGTGCAGTAGGACCTGGTTGTCTCTCCATCCTGTATGTAAGCTTGCATCTAGCCGCAGACTCCCACTCAGACCTTGCCTCTACCCCTCCTCCCTTGGCAATCACAGTGTGTTCTCTATGTCTGTGATTGTTTCTGTTTCATAGAAAAGTTCATCTGCAATGCATTACATATTCCTCATATAAGTGATATCATAGGTATTTCTATTTCTCTTCTTTTTTCCTGGGCTGTGCAAGTTGTGGGATCTTAGTTCTCTGACCAGGGATCAAATCTGGGACCTGGGCAGTGAAAGCATGGAGTCCTAACCACTGGACTGCCAGGGAATTCTTCTCTGTTTCTGACTTGTATGATCATCTCTAGGCCCATTCAAGGACTGTTCTGAAAACACACTGTCCTCTCAAGAACAACTACTGATTATCTTTGCCACTTGAAGTCAAAGAATATGCTCTGCCCTTTAATGCTACTATGTATAAAATACATAACTAATGAGAACATACTGTATAGCACAGGGAACCCTACTTAATGCACTGTGGTCACTTGAATGGGAAGGGAATTCAAAAGAGAGGGGATACATGTATATGTAAGTCTGATTCATTTTGCTGTACAGTAGAAGTTAACACAACATTGTAAACCAATTATTTATTGTTGTTTTTTAGTCACTAAGTTGTATTCAACTCTTTTGAGACCCCGTGGACTGTAGCCCATCAGACGACTCTGTCCATGGGATTTTCCAGGCAGGAATATGACAGTGGGTTGCCATTTCCTTCTCCAGGGATCTTCCTGACTCAAGGATTGAACCTGCGTCTCCTGCAATGCAGGTGAAATCTTTACCACTGAGCCAGCTGGGGACTGCAAGGAGATCAAACCAGTCAATCCTAAAGTAAATCAACCCTGAATATTCATTGGAAGGACTGATGCTGAAGCTGAAGCTCCAATACTTTGGCCCCCTGATGCAAAGAATCGACTCACTGAAAAAGACCCTGATGCTGGAGGAGAAGTGGATGACAGAGGATGAGATGGCTGGATGGCATCACCCACTTGATGGATGTGAGTTTGAGCAAGTTCCAGGAGTTGGTGATGGACAGGGAAGTCTGGCATGCTGCACTCCTTGGGGTTGCAAAGAGTCGGACACAACTATGTGACTGAACTGAACTGAGCCACCTGGGAAGCAACTATACTCCAATAAAAATTAATTAAAAAATAAAGGCAATAAACAACTCATAGATTGAAAGAATATCCATTTATTCAAATTTCTCTTCTACCAAGCCTTTTAGCCCAATTACTAAAAAAAGATTGAGATGGGAGTTTTAACTGTTTTTGACCTGGCCTAACCAATTCTTGGGAGAGAAAACATCACAGGTAGGGTTCTCTAATTTACTGAGTAAACGGGACTCTTAGCAGAAAAAAAAAGTTGTAGTCTCTACAGATGCTACCAACTCCATTTTTGAAACATGGAAGGCAGTAATAAAAGGCATCTTCCTGTTTTTCTCTTCTCACCTCAAACATGCATGTGTCACTTCATTTGCAAAAGGGAGAATTAAGCTGAATATTCCATGTTCTTACCTCAAAAAATACTTCTCAGCTGGTGGGAGTGGCATGTGGCGAGTCTTCCCGTGTGTCTCCTCCACCGCTGAGGGCTCTTCACTCCACTCTTCTAGAGTGAGAAGGCCCCTTCTTTGGCGGCTGGAAAATGGACAGGAGGCATCCTGGAGCTGACTGTCTCTATGCTGCCTGGGAATGGCTTCCCAGCAGCATTTGCTAGAAGCCAGTATCCAGCCTCTGCTCATGTTGAAGTCATAGTTTTTTTAATTTCCCCTTTGAAAATATAGAAAAGGACAGAGATGAAAATACTTGTAGCTGCTATTAAGTAAACAGCATAAATGATAACAAAAAAGGCCAAAGCAAGTGTAAGATCCACAATGAAAATGATCAGCTCTGCCAACATGTCTGCATTTCTCCTTGTTCACAGAAAATATTTAAACAGTCCCAAAGGCACGCACTTAGGTCTTTATAAGACGTGAGCAGGAAAAAAAGACTTAGAAACATGCCAAAGTGTGTTGTAATTCCCCAAGGATCTACCAAGAGGGCTCTATAACGAAACTTCTGATTTCCCAACTGATACACAACAGTGGCTAAAGGTAAAATATGAGATACTGCTTCACCATGAATATGCTAGTGGAGAGAGGCACAAGAATCTATTTCATCCCCTGTATAACTGATTCACTTGAATTGTAATTTCCAAGGATAGGAACACACAAATACGCATTTATAACATGCAAGGCTGCTATAGAAATTTGATATTTTTCTTGGGAAATTGAACTGTACCAGTCTTGTGTAAAAGGAAAATAAAGCCATTTTCAAATATGCAAAAATTCAGAACGTCTACTTTTCTTGAATGTGTTTGGGGGAAAAAATTACTAGAGGATATATTCCAATAAAAGATCTTCATTACTGAAAGAGGAAAACTTGGTATGTAAAAATTTGTGAATTTAATCAATGGAGCAATGAAATTAAATCCCAGAATCCCAGCTCATCAGCAAACATACAAGGTAATAAGTTCAAATTAGAAAGGGAAGTTAGTGAGCAGCCAGAGATAGCCTTTAAGGAAACAGCCACTTTCCTATGTTAAACAGTATAATTAAAAAGTGGGATGACCTAAAAACAAAATAACCAGACTATTTCTCAGTTAACAAGGTAAATGAATGGTAATGAGAATCCAAGAAGTACATAAAGTTGAATAATATAGCCATGGTACTCAAATGAAGCAAACTAAATGGAAGCATGATTCCAAATAAGTTACGGGATATAAAAAACCAGACCCCGTGGACTGTAGCCTGCCAGGCTCCTCTGTCCATGGGATCCTCCAGGCAAGAAGACTGGAGTGGGTAGCCTTTCCCTTCTCCAGGGGATCTTCCCAACACAGGGATCAAACCCAGGTCTCTTGCATTGTAGGCAGATTCTTTATCATTTGAGCTATCTGGGAATCCCTATTTGTCTTTAATATTTGGAAAATTCTGCTTTAAGTAGCTTTGATTCAGAGTGTAGAATTGTATTTCCAAAAGTTCAACCACAGTCCTTGATTTTACAATGAATATTTTCAAACTTAATACTTCTTCCCTTCTTTCCATCTCTCTCAGTATGCTTCCTAACTTTTTCCAGCTTTTAAATTGTCAAAAAACTCAGACTATACAAAGGGCAGAAGTATTGATTTCCACATCTTGCATATGGAACTCGAAGGATACTGTCCAATAGTTGTGTAAGAAATAAATATTAGGTACAGTTTTCAAAATAATAAAGATGATCAATGGAAAAGCTAAAAATACAAATTTAATAGAACTTGTAATAATAAGATAGAATGGATAGTAAAAGGTGTTAAATTCTCAATTTTCATGGTAGTAAGTCAAAGATACTGTTTTAAATTGCTTGTAAATAACAAGCTAGATTTAAAGCATATAACTTAGACCTATGCTGTCCAATACAGTGGCCATTTGTCATATGCAGCTAATGAACATCTAAAGTGTTGCCAGTCTGAATTGATACATTCTCTAAGTAGGAAATTAATGTGAGTTAACATGAAAAAAATTTAAATATCTCATTTATATTTTTTATATTGATGTGAAATAATATTTTGAGTTATGGGAGTAAGTAAAATATGTCATTAAAAGTATTTTATCTATTTCTTTTTACTTCAAAAAATATGGCTGCTAAATTTGTTAATGTGGTTCACATTACATTTCTATTGGACAACACTCACCTAGAATTTTAGAGCTAAAAACCGAGAGAACCAAAACCAAAAAATGTTAAGAATAGTTCCCTCTGGAGAGTAGGACAAGTGTGGAGGGAAAGGCTTCATGTTCTTATTTCTGCCTTTGTATAGTCTGAATTTTTAATATGAAGTTCATCTACTATTCTTTAAATGAACATTTAATTAAATACAAATAAAAGATAAGGTGCAACGAATAGATTATGATACAGTTTTTTTCTTTTATAATTGAGATCTTATTGTTTTGAGGATCACTACACAGACATTTCAATTTGTACACAATTCTTCACATACATACCAGAAATCTAAAAAATCATGTAGTTGTGATTCTTAACATTCTTAACAGTGACTTTCCAGCTTAAAATTTGGAGCAAACTTTCCTTAACAGGATAGCAAGTACCAATATCTTCAAATATTGATATGCTGTTACATCATAAGTCTCACGGATTCACAATTTAATATGATATACACTACATACTCAAACTATCAATTGTTCACAGCACATTAATCAAGTTACTAGAAAAACTGGACTACCATGACCAAAGATGTTACAGAGTGCAGAAAATTCTGACCAGGAGAGCCAAGATCAAAAAGTGGTTTGCTGTAGGAAATAATTCTACCAAAACAATATGGAAAGAGAATTAATTTAAAGTGTTCAAGACATTAAATGCACAACTGACTCCAAATTGCCATTTAGTATGCTTTTATATCATAAGATATAAAAACTACCCCCCATCTATGGAATGTTAAGCTGACACCCAAGACAATCAAAGCCTCCCGTATCCAATATCCCACTATTTTCTGGTTGTACCAAAAAAATAAATAACCAGCAAATGATTTCACCTCTCAATAAAAAGCATTTACACTTAAAAAATGGCATGAGTTGGGATTCCCTCCTTTTTAAAAATGTTTTTAGAGCTACCAAAAAACTTACATTTACAAAATAGTTGATAAATATTCCTCTGGATTGTACAAGACGGGAAACAGAGACCACTGGCAGGACTGGGTGTGTGGCATCAATCAGACTTGGCTTCTTTCTCTTCTTCATCAGAGGCTGGGCTCTCCTCATTTTTAGTCTCTCCGTTTTCTGCAGGTGAGTCTCTTTAGTTTCTTGGTTGTCCACTTCCGCCTGTTGTCCCTTTGCGCCTCTTCTTCCTTTTGTTTGCACTTTTTGGTCTGAAGATTCACCCTTTCCCACCGCCTTTTTTTGGCTTCGTTTCCACGCTTGCAGGAGCGGGTTTGCTGACAGCCTCCCCGACCTCCGCTTGGGCTCCTCCTTCCCAGCCCCTCGGCGGAGCTGACCTTCTCCTGGGCACCATGGCGGCGGGCAGGCAGAGCCGGGCGCCTGAGGGCTGCACCCAAGCTGGCTGCACCTAGAGCTGGCACCCATAGCCTGCCCAGACTATGGTACACTTTTAAAGAAAGGATTAGGTGGGTGTTTGAGAGACAGAAATCAAAAGGACAAAGTGAGGTGAGTGAAGCAGATTAAAATGTGGAAATGATACAGCTTTCAATATATAAGAAAAGAAGGAAAGGGGCAGTAGGTAATTGTAATTGGGAAGGGAAGTTAAGATTGAAAAATGTATCATATTGATCAATAGGGCACAGTTCAGTTTAAAACTCACTTTTAGGGATCACTGGATAGTTTCCTATAGATTATATTAAGTAATAACCTAACATAATTAGTAGATGGTGGCATTGTCATGGCTAATTCAAATACAGTTAGCTTTATGCTTAAGTAATACACACATTCTCCAGTTTAGCAAAGATAGAGACTTGCTTGTAATGGGTCACATTACTAAAGAATCTTGTCCTTAACTTAAAGAACCAACAAGGAGCTTCAGAACTGAATATCTTTAAATATTATCTTGAAAATTCAACACCCCAATTTTGCAGAGCTTGTAGAGAAGTAACATCAGGGAAAGAATGTGGATTTTCTATTATAATTTTGTCTGAGGAGTTTGTAATTTCCTCAGTTCTGTCTCATCGCAACAAAAATTTGAAGCAGTGGACCAGCATTATGGCCCTCGGATGGACCAGTGTTACAGCTCTGTGTTACAGCTCAGTTTTATTTAGAATGTAAAGGAAAATACATCCTCAAGGCATGAGGGAATGCTGACCCAAAAGACGTGAAGAGAAGAGACTGCACCCAGCCCAGTTTTGGCTCCTCTTTTTATATGTCTTTTCTCCTCCCCCTGGGCCTGCCCTATGTAAATCTGGTTAGCGAGGAGTGCTGTTTGTTTTACCTCACTGTTTGAGGTCTTCACTCCAGTCCTAGGACCTTCTTTTGTTCTATTTTCTCAGGCTTTTCCCTTGCTTGTCTTTTGGCCACCACCATTCTGGATTCCTTTTCCCTACTCTAGCTACCTAATGTTCCCCCCTTAAGAGATGGGAGGCCCAATTCTTTGGGAATAGGGGCATAGAGGTCTTTGTGTCTACTTCCTGCTGAACTGGGACAGTGAGAGGCATTGGGCCTCCCCCGCTTGCCAGTCTCAGGCTTCAGAGTCCATATAGCAGTGTCCATCTAAGGGTGAGTGATATTTTTCATGATTCGCTGTAGTTTTATATATCCATGTTGAACTGGCACTGTGTGTTGTAGCTTGTTGACCTGGTCAGAGACAAAATGGTTTAGACAATTCATAATGCATGGAGCAGCCATAAGCAGCATCAATATCATGATAACAGAGATTAGTAGGGGCATTAGCCAACTCCAAATTCCCCATTGCCAGGAGGATCCCCCAAAGAGAGACTGTAGCCACCTGGAGAACTCTCCAGATCGTTCTTTGAGATCTTGTAGGGTCTGAATGTTTTTCTTGATGACTGTGAGTCTTCCTTTAAGTTAGCTGGAGGTATTTATCCAGAAACAACACGTCTCATTCAAGATGGCTCATCTTGTTCACAGATCAGGAGTACAACCCCTGCCAAGCTGTGTTGGCTCTTTAGAGCTGTTCTGAGAAATCTTATCCCTAGAAACTTAATTTTGGGGGTTTAATTAGAATGGCACTCATTTGTCATTCTGAATAG